AGAGCACGCGCCATCAATCGGAAGGGTTCCTATTGCGCTTGTAAGCGTTATAAGGATCGGCCGATCTTATGAATTACGAAGTATGGAGATACCCTAATTTTTTGCCGCAACGCGACCGTGTCGCATCCTCGATCGGTTAATCTCTATTATCCCAGGTGGAGGACTATTCACCGCCAGCAGGCTCCGCCTCTCGAATTACTGATCTTCTTCAAGATTATAAATTGTAACTATTGAAGGTAATGGAGAACCTCGACTAGACTGAAGACAGCAAGATAGGCTGACACACTATACATTGGACCGAATCGAATAAATATCCGGCTATTCGAATAAAACATTCGAATTCGAATAATTCGAAAATTAGAATATTTGAAATTTCTCATTTTCGAATAATTCAATAATTCGATTCATCGAAGAAATTTTTTTCGTATTATTCGAAACGAATATTCGAAACTTATCTTTTTCGAATAATTCGGAAATTCGAATATTCGAAATTTCTTCACAAATTTCCAATGTATATGACACACTCATTTGGTTCTCTACTAAGAAGAAGTCGACCTTATTCTAATCTGTATGAAACATGGAAATGGATTGTACGGGACCTAATGGTGGTAAATAGCCTCCCCCAATCCTCCTCCACTTCTCTCCCCCAGCCCTGCCCTTATAACGTTATAGGGATTCCTTACGAAGTATGGAGATAAGAGGGGCCCGGAAACCTTTCTGCATTGAACTGTAACTAGCAATGCTTTGAGATGAAGGTTTTTAAGTTGTGAAGGCGCTTCTTTTTTGAATTATTACAACGAATTTTTTTCCGCAAAATCCTACGTATGTCATTTTTACACGTAATGGATGCAGTTTCACGAGAAAAATGTCATAGAAATGCGAGTAAATTCCATCGAAGTGCAAATTTCTTAAGTGTTTCTGGTTCACTCGAGAGTTCAATCGTACCTACTGGCATTTGTTGTCGTCTCTTGCGTTATATTCAATATTTTAGGAATGTTTGGTCGTCGCCAAATGCAAAAACCATTTGAAGACGCCTCATTCGCTTTGGATATCGGTGAGATGAGCGACATTGTGGAGACCGACTCTGGGCTGCATATCATCTGGAGACTTGCCTGAACTTCCTTGATTTTCCTTGTTTTTATATGTTCTTTTTCTGCATGTCAGCACTGTACATTCTAATTCTGCTTTGTGAGGATTCATAAAGTGTTTTTTCTTTGTTTGTTTTGAATCATATCATAAAGTCGCACTATGATACCTTTCTTAAGAATATGGACATAAAGTGCGCTCTTTTTTCCAGCTCATATGGTTTCCTGTCTTGACGAATACGGTCCTGTTGAAGTGGAAGTGCCGATTAATATTGCGCTTATCAAGTATTGGGGTAAGAGAGATGAGGTAAAGTGAATCTTTGCTTCTGATTCCTTTTTCCATTAATTGTGGGATATAGTGCTCTATTCAAGATTTTTTTTTGCAAGAGCAGTTGCTTATCGATAACGGTTTTTCTAAGGTTGCGAAGTTCCTCATTAGTCTTGTGAATAATAAAGCCTACATTGCATCAAATGGTATGTCTCTTGAGTATGGATCTGCGAAAGTGCATGGTTTATAACAGTGCAAGTAACGATGCGAAGTCGTTGACTTTGACCGAAATAGTACACTTTCTCATTTGCACTTACGCAGCAAAGAGCATGGCGTATGTATTCGCATCTCTACGAATTGTATACCTTTAGTGGGTAACTTGGTTAATTCATTTTGCGGAGCTTTCTGTTTGCGAACTGGAGAAAACCCGCAACTGGTTGAATGATAAACTGTGTTGTATTTTGGATTTGTGTGAGATGATAAGCGGTCAGACACAAACTTAATGCCTGAACGTTTATATTCAAGCGCAGCTAAATGCTGTTCTTTGATTGGCTTGTTATATTGATGATTCAGGATCTGATACTTCCCGTCAACAGTTCACTGTCGTTAAACATCGATGCTCTCGTTGCGCGCACGCGCGTGCGATGTTCTCGCAGCGTTACAGATTCTGTCACGATTAACGGTGTTGTGGTGGATCTGGACAAGAGCAAAAGGTTTCGACGTTGTTTTGATGTAAGATCTCTTTTTTTTTGCCAAAAAACTGCGTTTTACTAATCCAAGTAGAAGTTCATTATTATTCTTTCATATAAGTTAATTTGTTTTGTTTGCTCATATGTCTTTATATAAGGATTTCGTAATAATGATCAGATTGTAATAAGTTGAAATAATGCGATAGGTAAATATAGTGCATGAAGTTGTTTCCAGTAGATGTGCAGAGTTTGAATATATCATTTGTTTGTTTTTGGGTGTTTCTTATTAAAGATTACTGGTTGCATCGAGGAGGAATGCGCAAATAAGCGATGCAAATTCGAGTATGACGCTAGTAGAATAGATACGATATACGCTATAGAATCGCGCTGAATTTCTGCCTAAAAGGCGGAGGGCGAGAGAGGGAAGGGGAATGCGAAGTGGAGATTAGGTACCAAATCCGCATGATGCTTGCTTAGTGCAGTATGCATACAAATGCCTACGTGCTATACTTTTTAATTTCAAGCAGTATTTGAACGTTATACTCTCAACTGAGTTGTATTGCTTATAAAGTTATTGTTTAGTGCTTAGTACAAATGGTTTGTCCCGATATAGGAGACGCTAGTGCGCCTAGGCAATCACGGTCATATATCAGTGCTGGGTACTACTGGGCTATCAGCGGCATGATTGCGATGATAGAAGGGCCTTAATATAGAATTACAGTAGGCAGACGCTAGGCTTTTTATTAGCAGGTCATCAGTTTTTATATGCATTAATACCATGTAATTGAAAACTCCAAATAGGAGCTGTTCACCCTTTCTTTCTTTCTCGAATCGGCTTTTCTCTCAGTGAACATTATGAGGAGATGTTAGGTCCATTGTGGTAAAGTAATAATGCTAGCTCTAATATAAGGGCGGACTGAAGGGAATGGAGGAAGGAAAATGAGGCTTCGCAAATTGTAAAAAAATTCTGTTTTGTATGTCGAGTGGACCCTCTTTTCATGCTTGCTTGCCTTTCCTCCCACAATCAATGTTCTTCTACTTCCGAAATGCTATGCATAGTTGATCGCTCAGACGCGTATCAGTTTTCCTCATTTACATTATACAGTCCTTTAGGATAGTCAAAATTTGTCAGGTTGTTGGGGCTTTGTGGAATAGCGTACTCGTGATCTTGTGAATATGAGTACGACCCACCCGTTTAATCTCTTATTTTTTATTTATAAATAAAATGTTTTCTTTTGTGATAATAATTGTGTTTCTCTTAGATAGCTCTAACAAAAAGAACATCACATCATTTGAAGTGAAAAGCGTTATGAATGAATTGCGATTCCATGTTTTAGTTTGCTCGTGATCTTCTAAAAAAGCAAATAGAACATGGAGATACCAAGCTTAATCTACCGACTTATGGTTTCGAGGTGAGGGAGTTGTACTTTTCAAATTCTCTGTCTTTCAATGCCATACGTTCAGGTATCGTCTAGCACAAACTTTCCAGTTGCTGCTGGTCTGGCGTCTTCTGCTGCAGGATTTGCTGCCATTGCGATTGCCATTGGACAATTGTTTGAGCTTTCAATGACAGAGGTTTCAACTCTAGCCAGACTAGGTGCTCAGAATGTTGTTATTGGATCATTTTCAATAGTGATGTGGTTTCCTGTTTAATGGTGCAGTTATGCTCACGTATTAGATATCAATCTTAGCAGTGCCACGTTCCGTAATAATCATAGTTTAGGATCTGGCAGTGCATGCCGAAGCGTTTTTGGGGGGCTGGTGGAGTGGTGCGCCGGAAATGA